CCTCCCTGGAGGGAAATTCTCTCATTTTTTAACCTCTGCTGGACCCCCACTCAATAATGTTCATTACCTCAAGAGAAAAAGGAAAAGCCTATCAAAAAGAAAAAAAAAAAAAAGAGAGATAATAGATCTAAGATTCAGGCTGCTTTGGTGACATTTTTAAAGTCTTTTTTGCCAAGAAAAACAGTAATTTCTTTTAAATTTCTTTCCATGATATTTAAGCATTGAAAAGGAAAGACAAAATTACCGAGCTATTTTTCCTTCACCCATGATTATGCAGCAATTTATCAACAAAATGGAACAAGAACATCTGACTGGGATTATTTATTATACAGTAAGGCATTTATTTTTTGTTCACTTCACCAGGAACAGTGTCCCTGTTATGGCTAGCTAACCATCTGTGTCCTAAGAGCTTTCAGGGAAGGATTAAACTGTCATTTGTTTTATTTCCTTTCATGAAATAACTATCCTAACAGGGCTGAGGCAAGACTTGGATGTTGCTGGACTTGCTACCTTAAGGTGGCATGAAAAAGAGTAACTGGATCTTCCCTGGAGCTAAAGCAAAGCAATGAAAAGTTTGGGGGTTTGGGTTTGTTCTTTTTACTCCTTACACTCTGTAACGTGCAGTTTCGCTACTGAAGCGCTCCTACTGGAAACTGCATAGATGAGGCAATCTCTACGCCATGCTTAGGCAGAAGTGGAATTACCTGTGGATTTTTTTTTTTTTTTTAAATCTGATTCATTCACTACATTTAGCCAATATGGCATGGCTTTAAGCACTGAGAGAATTTGCAGCTAATCAGGGCTGGAAGCAGGAGGCTGACCAAAATAAGCAAAGGAGGAGGAGGCACGCCCCGCACTCCGGGTGGTGAGGGTGTACCAGCCCTCAGCCGCCGATTCGCAGCCCCACACGCAGAAGGCCAGCACCATTCGACTGTGGCATGTGGCATCCCTTCCCTGTCTGCAACTCCACCAGTGGGTCTAAAAACTTGTAGCACTTCTTCCCTGGAAAGAATGAGTAAAATAAGCCGCCTGATTCAGAGAAAGATAATCTGTGCCCTCAGTAAGAGCAAACATGTGGGAAAACTATTTGCTAGAAGAATGTACCTTACGGCTATTGCCAAAGGTTTTGACGGGTGTATCTGTGCTTTGGATAGCTTTATGGCTGTGCAGTGGAAATTGCTCATAACGGATGATAACATCTACATTTCTCTAACACCTTTTGTCCAGAAATCAAAAGCACTTTTCAAAGAAAGGGCCGGATTTGAATGCTTGATGCTAGCAGCTCCTCATGTCACACGTTTACGGACTGATTTTTTTTGAAACAACTTGGTAGCCAAAGCTCTCTGGCACTCACTATGCTTTAAGTGACAACTGAGCTCTCTTAAAAAACGTGACCCACACAGCATTTCACCACTGAAGTGCAACTGCCTCTGGCGTGGAAGAGACACCCTGGAGCGGCTGGCACTAGCGCTGTGCTGATCCTTGAAAGGGACAGTTTAGCTAAGGAGGGCGAGCCCTGCTCTTACAAGAGGTGTCAAGCATTTATAAGGATCAGATACTGGCTTTTCTCAAGGTCCATACATAATATTGTAGTGAATTCCATGCATCACCTTTGATAGAGAGAAAGAGCTGATCTGTCTTGAGTGAGTGGGAGTTAAAGAGCCAGGTATCGGATATGGGCCATCAGCTACAGCTCCGGAGACTCTGCTCTGCCAGGAGCTGTTCTGACACAGAAAACAGCAGCACTGCAGGAGAATTAAAATACATCTATAGGATGTTAAACATTTCTAACAGTTACAATAAGAAGAAACCCATAAATAATGTCCATTCCTCCCTAAAATGTCCTACATGGACTGGTTCACAGCAAGAACCAGTTCAGCTTTTCTGCCCATCATTGTTCATGTGCTAATTATTGCAGTCCCAAAGCGGGACCTAACCGCAGTCCCTGTGTCTTGCCTGGACTGGCCTGCAGGACATCCCCAGTACGATGCCAGGGATGACAGGGAAGGAGCACCTGCAGCAAATTAACGGGGTACACAGAGGTAGCAGTGGGGATGGACAGAGCTCTGCGAGGATTACAGCCCCCAGCTCTGCCCCGTGCTGCCTGCTGAAGGTGAGATGGGGATGGGTTCTCCTCCAGGTAGCAGGGGGGCTTCAGCCCACTACCACCCCTGCTCCCTATTTGCAAGTCAGCTGCTTCCCATCAGCATGTCTCCTGCTGGGAGGGCAAACGAAGGGCTCATTCGGACCACTGCTGCTGTGGTGGGACTGTGAGCAATGAAACATCAACTCCTCACATCTGTCCCTGGAAATCCATGGAAAGATCATCCTGCTGTTGCAAGCCTAACCTTCTGCACCTGGGCCCCTCCAATACAGTCGTTATTACATGGATTTCACCAATGACCCCAGCGTGACAGCACAGTACCTCCTGCCCAAATTTTATGAAGCTGCTCTGCTTTCTAATTCCTGTTGTGTTTGTGTCATACTTGAGATAACCTGGTCACAAGCAACTCCACAGAGCTGTGACCAGGCTCCTATACCTACAGGAGCATCTAATTCACCTGATCAGTTCCCAGGCAAACAAAAGCCAAGGAAGAACAAGGACACCAACGAGAGACAGTATTTTCTTAGCAGGAATACAATTATAACATAGGTAGGCTGCCTCCGTTTACCTCCCCAAATTAAAATAATCTTTTTCTTATGCTCTTACCTAAGAATGAGACCAGAATGTGATCCACTCTGCTTCTGACTGCATTTACTGGCCAGAAAGAGGCTGCAACGAGCTAAGAGGCAAGTCACCCAGTGCAAGAATGGTTGAAGGTAGGAGCATGTGCTCACACGGCTGCTACAGGGCAGGGCAGAGGCTTGCAGAGAGGGAGGAGACACTGTGGAAGACCTGTGGGCTCAGGTCTATGGGACAACTCCACAGACTGTTATAATGCATAGCGGCTCCTATAGCTCTGCTGCGCTCTCTTCTTGGCCTGCAAAGCTTGCACGGTAGGAGGCAGAGGACAGAGTGCAACATCAGCCTATTTCACCCCCAAGTAAATGTGTTTTTTTCACATCCCCCCTAAGATTTGGAGTTATGGTAGAGACTGAAATTCTCAGTTATACAGAAAAAGCATTTGGCTATCTGCTTTGGACTGAAAACACCTCTTTTTAGAAAGGATTGGGGTTTCCAAGTGGTTAGAGGCGAGACCTGGGAATCCCAAGTAGTTAAAATAATTTCCTTTTTAATTAGAATCATAGAATCGTTTAGGTTGGAAAAGACCCTTAAGATCATCAAGTCCAACCGTTAACCTAGCACTGCCAACTCCACCACTAAACCATGTCCCTAAGCACCACATTAATTGCTGCTCTGCAGCCTTTTCCTCTGACTTTGAGAACAGCTTTGAGCTTTCTCTGGCCACAGAACTCTAAAATAGGCAAAGTTATTTTACTTTATTAGAGAAACAAGACAATTCTTAGTATTCTTGCTATGACGTTTGCTCAGGGGAAGCTGAGAGGAGAGAAAAATCACTTTCTGGGAAGCAGCTGGCTTAACACAGGGCGGGACCACGTCAGAATTTGGTTTCTTTTGCTGACTTATGCAGCAGTGAGTCCCTTGCTCAGCCTCTCTCCCATCCCTCTGTGCTACTGGGAATCTGCTAAGACACACCTGTGGGAATTTTGGGCTTTTAAATCTGTGCCTTAAATGTCCCAACAGTTCCCTAACTTGCAGAAAGTTTATTGCTATCAGGTCCTTAACTTCAGTTTTCTTAGGAAAATCATTGCAAGTATCTCCCCTCAGAAGCCTACTACAGAACATGTCTAAGAACTAAAGAGGCTGCCTCCCTCCTTGAAAATTGAATGTTCTCGAAAGAAAAGGGAGAAAAAATTTTCTCTCCAAAATGCACGCAAAACAGTAACACATTTCAATTGTAACAAGAAACTTATTTTCTCCACAAAATACAATTTGCTTTTTTCAACAGGCTCCAACTCTCATAGGCTGAGAATAAAGGTGTAACACATGAAGGCAAATATGGCTTATATTTTAGGAATTTCCATGATTTTTATGGATTGCATTGATGAGAAATGCATTTGTGCACTCTGAACTGCCAGTAACATTTTTGCTGTGGGATATACTTTGAATAATTCCTTTGCAAAAAGCATGGCCATATATTCATTAGAAATGGAAAGTCATTCTGGAAGACATAAGCTTCTAAATGAATGGTATTTCAATAAATAAAGGTGGTATAAATTCAACATACTGATTCTCCAATTCATCATCCTCTAAGCTAAAATATATCATTCCTCTCGGACTTCAATTCCCAGCCATGCTATCCTCTTAATCTTAATTATAAATGGTCTGCCACTTATCAAATAATTCTCTGTGTACTGCACAATCGTCACCCTTAATTGCACAAATATTTTATTTTTGGAACAACACAGCTCAGCAACAAGCTTCATTTTTCTTTTCATGATTCAGTCTCTATTAAAGTAACGCATTTATAAAAGCTCTGGGCGCATGGAGAGAAAATTAGTTGCTCCTCCGTGGCTAACAGTTCTTAGCTAATCACAATGCAGCTCCACATCACTCCGAGCAGAGCAGTGATTAAAACTGCGACTGCAACAAAGCAACATTGTACACAGCGATGACGTGCTCCAGTCAAAAACGTCTCCCCTCTTGGGGGTATTCCCCAGATGTTTGACTTTGAGCTCTAGCTTGGCAAGCGAGGCTTTGTGGCTGCAATTCAAGTCCCAAGCTTGAGCAGCTCCAGTGTTTATTCTCATAATTTACACTTTGTGATGGCTTATGGACAGTTATGTACTTGGTTTCATAGCCACCACTTCAAACCAAGGGCCTGATCCTGCCTTTATGGAGTTAGTGGTAAATGCTTCCCAATTCCAGCACTGGCAGGAGGCCCCAGATGACTCAACCGTCTCTCAAAGCAAACAAGCCAACATAAAAGAACAATTTGGTTTAAAAACAATAAAAAAATGCCTGAAATCTTACTTACTAGGAAGTCTTCTTCACAGTACACCTTGCCATTGACATTGTAGAACGCTTTTCCTCGTAGTCTTCTCCCTGTTAAAATACGGTACCGTAAGAATTTTGGGCTCCGTCCCCAAACCCAGTTGTTCAGGATGCAAAGTGAAAAGCACGGCCTGCTGCCCCTGGCTGCAAGGCCAGTTCCCGGCCCCTCTCCTCCCCGGAGCGTCCATCCAGAGCAGCGGGTGAGGGCTGGGTCCTCGGCTCCATCCTGCCTTCACAGATTCCTTATCAACTAAATGTTACTTCTAAGTGCAGGTTATGGAACCCAGCTGATATCAGTTCCTGGAAAATTTGAAATATAAACCCAAAAATGATGATTCTGGGGGGAAAGGCTAATTTGTAAATTGAGACAATTTTCTTAGCAGGTGAAATCACAGCAGGCATACATCCACTGCAATCAACATCAGCGATGCATCTGTCTCTGAAGGACCGAACAAGGGATACTGCATATGGATGTTCCTGTCACCTTTAAAAATATTAATACATTAATCAATGTCGCAGCAGCTACACCCACAGCTCCCTGCGATACTGAAGCAGTACAAAGCACACGTGACAGAGGGAAGGGCAGAAAAATCACACAGAAAACAAGAGATTTCATGTTCAAGTTTGAACATTTGCCATTTCATTAGCGCTTGCGGAACTCTATTGACAAAGCCTGCGATCATCGGTAACTGATGGCTCCCTTTACAGCTAAGAAATGCACAACAGACTCCAGAGAGTCCCAACAAAAAGGATTACACCAGGAATTCAGAAACCACTGAGCCCAAACAGTTTTTAGATACAGCAGATCAGGTCTGTCTTACACCCGAGCTGCTTCACGGAAAGCAATGCCGTTTTATCAGTGTAAAACCAGAGGGGGAGACGGGAAACCGCACTCATCCTGACTCACCTTATTTCCACTCTGTGCCAGGGTCCCACTGGCCAAAGCTCCCAAACATTTGGGTGCTCTCACAAGCCGTTTGCAGCCTTGGCAAGCAGATGGCACGGTGCTACGGGCTGCGTACCGGCTGCCGTTAGCAGTGGCACAGAGCTAGGATGAGGGCAAGAGGGTCTGTATCTGCAGGTCAACAGATGACCCCTCCCAGGCCACTGCCAAAGCTTTTACTCCACAGAATAATCCTGGACATCTCCTACCGAGGCAGAGCAGCAGCCCCACCATAAACACCGCCGATCTTTGTGGAGGGTTTGACTCTGAGGGCCAGCAAGCTGAGCCAGCTGGCCAAGCACATAGGGGCAGGAGTGCTCTCCACGGTTTCTATAAACAACGTTGAGGAAAATATGATTAATTTTCAGTGCTTGAAAGTGCCTTTCACATGTTGCCACTGTGATCTGATCCTGGGAAACAGTGTGTGGCACAAAGAAGTTGGGATCTGGGCTGATGCTTTTGGGAAATCACATGCTGCATGTGGTTGTCTGGCGGTTTTACTGTCGTGGCCGAGGGAAATGCTTCTTTTGTGTGCACATTCTTGGGCTGTCGATCTCACGGGCTGCTGTCTCCATACTGCTGGTAGGTGGAGTCTGCTCTTGTTTGTCTTTCTAGCTGCCTGGTAGCTCCGGTGGGGACCAGGAGCCTGGTGGTGTGGGCAATGCACTGGGACTGTCCCATCTCCTCTGAGACTCTTAGGTAAAACTGGTCTACCCTACACATCACCGAAACAAGGCACAGGGCTGAGACAGCAGTCAGGCGTCACAGGGCCTCTCTCGACTGATGCAGGAGCAACCACCCCTAGGTCTTCCCTCCTGCTTATCCAAGCTGTTTTTAAACCTCTCCAGTGAAAGGTAAAGGAAAGGTAAATGGAAGGGAGAGAAGAAAAGGAAAGAGGCCAGAATGGCTTTTTAAGGGACATGTAGGCTCTGCCAGACCCAGCCTTAATACACAACTTGTGTGGCTGCACCCAGAACAGGGACTTGCCTTGGACGTGCTGATGCAGCACTTCCACCTTGCTCACACACACCACCGGTGCAGAGCCGGGGCGTTTGTTTCAGGTGGAGAAGCGCTGGCCATCGCCCTCACCACACACCCATTATGGTTAGAAGCAGCAGAGATAATTAGGGAAAAATCCTGAACTCCGTTGCTGGAAGGATCTCTGCAGGAAAGGAATGCTCTGATCTGGGAAGGCGTCAGCATCTCCCGAGGCACTGCAGCAGGTGCATGAGGACCCGTGCGTCCCGCTTGGTATCCCAGTGTGCAGAGCCTCCGGTGCTCAGGTTCACAGAAATGCCCCAAATTCTGCTCCTGTTGTTTCCTTAGCATGGCATCACTGGCAGAAGCCCATGGGGTCAGAGCTTTCCTGGATTGGGAAGGAGTGGGAAGCCTACAGCCCAAAGCAAACAAGGCAAAACCAATGTTTTGGACTGGCTCTCAAAGATGCTTATGTTATCAGGTGCATTTGGCCGCTGATTGCCCCGCGACATGAAACCTCACCTCTCCCCAGCACAGCAAGGCTGCGAGCCTCCATCCCGGCCCACGCACAGCTTGTGAGCCCCGGCTCACCGCTCACGCCCCGCGACGCAAGCCCCCCCGCCTGCCAAACGCAGACAGCTGCCCTCCCCTTCCATACAGCTGATGTGGTGAAAACGTCTCTGTTTTACACAGCAACACCTTCCGAAACTGAGGAAAAATACCATTTTCCCTATTTTACAGCTGAAAAAAAAACCAAGCCACCTATTAGGGAATCAACTTGCCTAAACTCATAAAGCAGGCAAGCAGCTTGCTCACATGATAATTACTATTATTAGCAATAATTAATAAGATAGACAGGCCTTTTACCTTAGAGGAATTTCATTCAGGGACCGTACAATAATTATCTCATAAACAAGAAACAGCAAGTTATCACACAAATAGCCATGGCTGCAGTATAGTGGCTTCTACATACTACATTTTAGAAATAAGGCAAAAACACACGTTCCATTTGCCCTCCAGAAGAGTTTGCTAAATGACGGCGTTGAACACGGTCAAACACCAAACTCCGCGAGTGCCTGGGCATCACGTGAAAACTGCAACCAAGAGGAAGGCGCTGGCAGTGGCAGCCAGGGAGATGCAAAGCCCAGGGAGACGCAGCCTCGGTACCTGCCAGCCCAGGGCAGCCATGCAGCAGGGCGGGTGCATCGCCTCGCGGTTAGGGTACCTGCCCCGAGCTCCAGGCGCTGGACAAGGCGGTTTCACCTCTCAAGGTCCTGGAGTAACTCGGGGGCCTGCACAGCACCAGCCTGTTCCGTGTAGCCGTAACCTACCATTGTTGATCAGGCAGAAATTACCAGTTAAAAAAACCTAAGGTTGCTTTAGCCAGCTCTGTCAAACGCCTGGCCAGCTAGACAATGTAATGTCATCCTGCCCACTGGTACACAGAACCTGCTGCTTGGCTTTCCTTTGAATGACCGAGTATAGCCAAGCCTGGGTTACTATTTGCTTTCATAATATTGAAACAAAAAAGTCAAGAGTTTCTGACACAACTTGATGCAACTTGCCGATAGCTCATTATAATAATAATGAGCAGTTATAATGAGCAGCCTAGCGCAGAGTTCAGAAGCATGGGGTTTCACAAACACCCTGCTTCTTTCCTCCTCCTGCTGGATACCCACCTTGGCACGTCCGCCCCGTCAGACCAGTTTTCAACAGTAGTGAGGAAGAGGCTCTGTTTCACACCCGACCAGAAGAGCAGCAGGTCGGCCAGGAATGCGCGGGGGGACTACAGGACAGAGCAGAAGCCGCCCAGCTTGCAGCCCGCACGCAGGCACTTAACGCTGGCTTTCATAGGGAAGCCCTTTTTTCCCCTGAGTGCTCTTTAGAGCCTTGTTTTACTGTACAAGACAAAGCTTATGTGCTCACGGTAACAACAAATGCCTGTTGCAAATAACTTTTACATTTCTTGACTGATACCCACACACCTGAGGGGTAGAGAGTGCCAGGACAAGGGGGTTCCACCACCTCAGGTGGGAGGCAGAGACCTCGCAAATGCTCCAGCAAAGAGTGCGAAGTTTCATGTAGATAATCTAGCTGTTAATAAAATGCAAGCTAGGAATTGCTCTGTCCCAAGGAACGATCACAACTGGTGTTTGCAACCAACACGAAAAACATCCAAAAGAAAGCAGGCTTTTGGAACTTTTAAAAAATATATAAAATCAAATCAGAATCAGCTCTAAAAAGATCAACTTTCACATTTAACCAGTTTATGAGTCTCTAGTATTTAAATGTATCTATCAATTACTTCCTGCACAAATTTTTCTCCCCTATGTGTTGCAAACTAAAAGGAAGGAACGGGAGAGCTGCTGCTTTAGCAAAGGACTCAACTCAAAGATTTGGCTTGCAAAAGGAAAAATGACCCGCAGTTGACACAGGCTGTCCACAACTATTCTCTCCAGTCTCCACAACACTTCGCTGGGTGGTGAAAACACACCAGCCACGAAGCCAAGACGGGGTAAAACTTTTTCCAATGCTGTTTCAAAAGCTGCTCCAGGCCCTCATGGAACAAAATGTGAATCAGACCGGGTTTTACGGTCTTGAGGAGGTACTCTGAAAGAGCGCTGAAAATGTCCTGCCCCCTCCCCACTAGCCCGGAAAGCATCTTCAAAGCCCTCCCTGCCGCTGCTGGCAGTGGGTATTTGCCCATAGGGAGGTGAGTTTATCAAGTCGCAGCCGTCAGTGGTAGATCTCCAGTCTCAGATGGGATGATGCAACCGCGTCGGGGGCTAACACCCCCCCTCCCCTTTGTAAGACAAGAGATAGCAATGTCTCACTGTCACAGCGTGGTTATTAGACCTAATTACTGTTTGCTGCGTGCTTTGAAGTTGAGAAGTGCCAAGCATTATTATAATATTTTAAGTACTTTGATGATTAAAAACACACAACTGTTGGGTAATAATCATGATTTACTAGCATTGTAGTGTAAGCAAGTTCATGTGAGAAGCCTGCATTGTCTCAATGCCTGACGCTACTTAAAAACAAACAGCTCCCCTCTGACATAATGGGAATGCTGCAGCCCCAGCCTCGCCTCCCAGATAACGCCTGGCATGGCCCCGAGACTACCAGCGCG